TCTCATCTTTTCCACCCTCTTTGTGCTAGGCCTCCTCCTCCTCCCAGTTTCAGTGTTCTGAACTTGAATAAAGTTCTGGGTCACTGAAAGTCACAAAAAGCTGAAGGTTTTCATATTTAGCCTGAAATGATTGATATTCACAAACATCCTACCACTAGTGTGGATTGAGTCACAACAGCAGCATTGACTTTGCAAACTTCAAACTTCCGTGTCATGATGGTCAAAGAAATGACACGAGGAAAGGAGCAAAACTGGTTTACCTTTGCCTTGAAAAGAAGTCTTATTACTTAAAATTTTTATGTGGGTCAGGTGGGGTCAAAAGGATGGACACGAGGGCCTCATTATAAATGCCCTAGATGCCTGCAAACAAATGTTTCATACCAAAATTGATTCCCAAATTTGGTTTTTATGACTGCAAATGCAAAAAGTTTCATAACATTATGATCTGCTTTGCTTTGTTTTTATGGAAGTTTGAAAGTAAATGTTTATACTATTGTTCCATGTTCTGTTCTTGGTTTCCAGAGGACGATTCCTCACAAGCATCTCTCTCTGAACTAAAAAAATATAAAGATTGTGTAAATCTACAATCACTATCTTCTATACCATGTCCATTTTTCACGGTATGTATAGTTTGTTTAGTTTGATTAAAGTTGTAGAGAAGCACAAGGGAACAATAACTGGTCTCCTGACGTTCATTGATTAAGGCCAATGTTGTTAATATTTAACCCTATCTGTACGCCCTGGGGTCATTTTGTACCCTCAGGGTTGTATTCTTCACATTTTAGAATACTTCTAGTGCAAAGATCTCTTTGAAACTTTCCGTATTTCTCAAAAAATCATTTTGACAGACTGCTATGCAAAGCGTATGGATCGGATTAATGAGTAAATTTCCTCTTTAGAAAGTGGTGGCACAGAGTTCCCCACGTCATATAGATACGATAGTAGAATACGACGTACGGATCGGATAGGGTTTTTAATTGGAATGAAACGTTAAAACCACCTGGAGAAACTTCAATGGAACTGTGCCAACTCAGTCTGCCGGCAAAATATCAGTCATTGCCAGGTACATAGTACATGTATCAGTCCATTGACTTTAGGTTGGCGGGCGCCCGTACGTCTTTTATGTTGTGATGACTAGCGCTCAAATCTACAGGATAGGTCTGTGGTGGCGTGGGGACTGACAAGTACGCAAATGTGTTGGGTTAAAAAAAAAATCATCAGTCTACAGGGTCCTCAACACACAATAGCCTAGATTCTGATCCTAGCTTCTTTCAATTTTGAAATTACTTACTTAAACTTAGAGTTCAGCTGAAGCTGTGTATCATGTAATAAATTGTTACTTGTTTTTGCTGCATAATGGCAATCATGCAAGTCAGATCTAAAACACCAAGACTGGCCAGTTTGTCTTTAGTCTTTATCTACCAGTCTACCACTAGTAAAGAGGGCAATCGATGGTATCCTGTCATAATATTTTCCCATCTTTTAAAGTTTACTAGAATGGGAAGCGAGAAGCGAGTTAATTCCCCTAATTTTTGCCACGACCATCCACGAGCACCATTTTCACTCAGTATTGCATTCCTACTGTAACTGTAACATAGTGAGCCTCAGATTCAGACGTCTACACTACAGTGGAACTCGGATTCGACAAAGTCTGACTTAAAATCTCATGGAATTTGAGCGATCATTATTATGGCAAACATGGGGTTTTGTGTAGATAATTATAGCCATTGAGCAAGTAATGTATAAAGGGAAGTAACAAGTGGTGCCTGAAATTCCTGCATATTATGAGCTGTGCAAAAAAAAATACAGATTCGTTCAAGTGCACGCCTGTGTCAGTGTCATCTCGATTGGTTGTCAAAAAAGTTGTGTTGCTGTGTAGAGCCTAGCATACGGCAACTTTTGATTCCATAGACCACTGCACAATTCATTACGTAGATCTATGTCAAAGACTAGCTTATCATTGTAATAATGATCAGTTGCCGGGGGGGAGGGGGGGAGACTGTGATGCGTTTGTATCTGCGACGTTCCACGCCCGGACCGATGGTGCCCCCCCCCCCCCCCCTCAACACACAGTCACATGTGCAGGCCGCCCATCCGACCCTGACACACGCCAGAGTAGACTCGTGTGCGTGCCAACAACGCATGTGTTGGTTTGAAAGATGGCCGCTGATTGGTTGCATGCAATCGGGTAAGTGAATAATGGTTTACGATGCAGGTGCAATGGATGGTGTCCGGGAATAGATAAAATTAGTTGTGGGAGAAAAATGGGCGAAGCCACGTCTGCGGCGGGGGGGGCTGTTTGGTAGCACCTCGTTGAATCCGAGCATTTTTATAGATTTCAAAGAAGAAGAAAAACGGGGAATCCATCTCCTTTTGTTGAATCCGAATTCTCGTTGAATCCAAGCTCATTGAATTTGAATCCGAGTACCACTGTACAAAAGTAAAATATCTGGGTCATCCTGGAGGGAGATCCAAGTCCTAGCTTACACTTGCATATCATAGTACTTCTTTTCATTCTCACAGGTTATCCTAGAGTAGGCTAGAGCAGTGGTTCTTCTTAGTCTTTGACTGGAAGAGCTGTATTTGCACACATGACTGCTCCCAACTCAAAAGATGTTCTAAACTCCCTGAATAGAAGAGAACAATTCGCTATCTTTTGCCTGCTAACACAACACAACCCATTGAATTCCTACCTAAATAGAGGATCCGCAAGGATACACCACCAGACTGCCTGGATGAAGCAGTATCACACCACTTCTTTACCTGCCCTGCACTGAACGCCCTGCGTAGCACCTACCTACCTACCTCCCCAGATATCGGAAATACTTTATACAGCGACAAAACACAGCTGATAAAAACCTGTAAATTCTTTGCCATATCGACAGGCCGAAGGGCAAGAACCCAGATGGCCGCTGGATCGGAAAAGTAAAGAAGTCTTAACATCGGTTCAGTGAATGCAATGAAACTTGCGAGGTTCAGTTCCTCCGGCAAGGTTAAGAACAACTGTCCTAGAAATACAATATGTGAGGCAGCGTGGTGAAATCAGGCGCTCGTCACAAAAATCAGTGACGAAACTGGCATTTTTCCACAGGATTCTGATTTTTTATCGAAATTTCGTTTTTTGGCTCAACACCTTTCATGCCCAATGAAAAACACATTTCTGTGTGGATTTTACTGAAAAACATTGATTCAAGGCACAAAAAATGTAAATTTTCAGTTTCCATGTACTCTCAAGCTAAGGAAATATGGCGGCCATTTTCTCACTAATTTTACCTCGCAAATCAGGAGACCACCACCTCCTTCATTCGCAAAAAATATCTCGACTTCTATTCAAGATTCTTAAAAATATTTCTTTCATCCAAAGCAAGACAAATGAACAAGCTTTAAGATAATACCAATAAGTTTCAATAACTCTACATGCCCAAAAATTGACCAGAGCCTGATTCAATGGCGTCGTGACACACATATATAGTTATAGACAAAGTCCAAACTAACAACAGTGACACAGTTCTTTTTGTAGTGACTTGTACTACTGAGCTCAACAAAGCAGTCAAGTCATTTGGGCCACTCATTCTGCAGTGCGGCCTCACTACAACATCATCGGGACTGAAAAAATATGTCATGATAGAGAGGCAAACAAAAATGGTCGTTTTTAATTTAAGCACAAGGGGGCTATAGGGAAAAATGCTTTTTTGAGAAAATCGAAGGTAAAGTTTTTGCCCCTTGTTCAGTTTCTTTAAAAGACAAAGAAAGTTTTCTCTATACCCAAACAAAATACACATTAACGAACAAAACTTCTGGAGGGCAATGCCCACTTTTGGAGTAGGTCAAGATTTCTGGAAACCCACGAAATCTGGGTTAGCCCGCTTGTCCATAAAAGCGACCAAATATTACCAATGATATACAATGTACAAGTATAGGAAAAATTTGGGACCTGGGCAAAAAGTAGCTATACAGAGGATGTCGTTATAATGAAGGTCATTATAGAGAGGCTGCACTGTATTCAATTCCTGTGCGGGCCCATGGTCGTAGCCCGCCTCAAAGATGATCTGAATTGTGTTGATGGGGATGCAAAAAATAGATGTACCTTAAAAAATTTCTTTTTTTTAATTAAGTACTAAACAAAACAAAGACACTACAGCTATCCATATATGTACCAAAAAAAACACAAAAAAACTCAGAGCTTTCAGCTTAGATTCTTTTATATAGAGATCATAAAAATAGCATTACAATAGAGAAATTTCCAATTTCTCAAAAGTGCATTCATCACGCATCATGCATCAGTTGACTGACTGGATGTAACTAGCAACAATTTATTGATGATCAGAAAATGGACAAAGACAAACCGAGGTACCGGTATGTCATTTTTCCCTGAATATCCAATTTCTAATCAAACTTGTCATCAGAGCACTTCGCGATCTCAGTGCTTTCTTGTCGTACCTCAATTTTTTTAACAGTGAAAACATGACATCTTCTTAAGCTCACTCTTTGTTATGAGCTGTTTTCACAATGATTAAAAATGGAGATACACCAAGAAAGCACTGGGGTCGCGACTTGCTTGTACTTTACTTGTAGCCTACATTGTTGACACACTAACAGCAAATCCAGAAAATGGGCTCATCGCCGCCTCCTTGTGACTGTGACAGGTTCAGGACAACAGGAGAGCATAAAGAAGTAGGAGGAGCAGCCTATGCCACAGAGTTCGCCAGCAAGATACGATAATAAAACCCAGAACTGTGACCTCAAAAGGAGCACAATTTCACCAAAACAGATTCACACCTAAGTTTTTTTCCCTTAGC